GATATGAAAATTAAGAAATATTATTATTCTTAATAATGAAATATAGAGTGTTTTCTTTTAATTAAAACGTTAATTAAAAGACGAAAATTTATTATTAACATTTAAATTTTTCCCGCGTTACATTCATCAGCGCTCTTTTTAGTTACCTCGACGTCCACCAGAGTGCGTTTCTTTTCAGAAGGAAAAGAAAAGAAAAAAAAAGAAAAATAAATAAAAAAAAGAAAAAGAAAATGCATCTAGTGCATTGAGAGTGTTTATGGGTCGCGTCGTTTATTGGTCTATTGTTTTGATTTTTATAAGATAATGTAAGTTATATAGATTGATTGAGTCAATTAAATAATTGATAATTTCACTCGATACAAAGGAACATATTAATAGAACAAATATGTTAGAATTAGAAGGGCTTCTAATATTAGAAGCTTTACGTTAAAATCGTGTATACTATTTTAACCTGACAATGTACAACGCATTTAAATTGCTCACAATTATATTGTATTATTCGACACAATATGTGAACGCTCAATACTGTTATCCAAATTATTGTCAAAATGTTGTAAGTAATACATTATATTTCCTTTTTATTATTATATTTTTTATCAATAAAACACACAGTCATATATATATATATATATATATATTTTCTTTTTTTATATTCTTTTTATTCTATTTTATTCTTATTCTATGTAATATATATGTATAGTCAACTAAGGTGTCATTGCCTGGTCTTCAATGTAGAATAAAACCAATCGAAGATGATGGTAAGAGTTAAAATTATTTACTTACAAATAATAATGATTTATATATTAATTATATTTTATTGTTCCTTTAGATTGTATTAAACTTAGATTCGATGGATGGAATCATATATCTTTCCAGGAGAGTACGACTCAATTTCAATTGTCTGCTTATGTTATTAGTACAGGAACATTTAAAGGAAAATTGACTGCATTTAATTTATCAATTACTGATATTAATTTTCTTAGTAAATATCTATCTATAATGGATTTAGTTTTGTCACATATTATATAATTTAATAATTTATACATACATATATATATATATATATATATATATATATATATATATATATGTCTTTATTTAATTTTAGGGTTAACCACACGTTATCAAAGTCTGATGGATGAAAATATATCCGTGTGTACACATATTGCTTTACATGGAAACACGACTGACTCAGTACCTAATAGATTCATTTTATCTTGTCCTTTTACAAATCAATCATTTGAAGGTAGTCCTTATCGTTTAGAGTATTCTGTAAGTGGAAAAAGATTTGAGTACAGTAAAAAGCTTGTTTTCATAATTCCTCATCATGAGTCTATTGGTAAATTATTGAATTTTCATAATAAAATATAATTAATTTTATATGATAATATATTAATATAAAGATTGAATTTTCAGATGAAAATAATGACATTACTGGATACTTACCATTCATTTATATAGATGTTTCTGATGCATTACTCTTCACATTATATATACAGCCAGTTCCTAAAAAATTTAACGTAACTACGTATAGAATTTGGTTAACAAATAATAGCACGGGTATAACGACCGACATAAAAGTTTCTCAACCGATAAATGAAGAGCATATACAATATAATTTTTCCATATTAGATGGAATCTATTATTTTCAAGTAGCAGCTATTCATCCCAATTGTAGTATATACGGATGCATTAATGCCACCTCACCTTTCATAAGTATAAGTACGTTTTGATCTTTCCTTAATCTTATGTTTATTATAGATATTAATGTAATTATCTTTAAATAATATTTAACAGGAGAAGCATCGCATCGTTTACTCATTATGATAATTAGCATTATATGGATACCACCTGTGATATTATATGCGCTTTACCACATATATAAGTTATGTACAAAAAATGGTAAGATCGTCTGTTTCACATTGATATAAAATTTCATTATTGTCTTTGTACACGTCATAATATAATAAAATAAAATATTCTTTCTCATTTCGTTATATAAAAAACAAAAAACAAAAAAAAATTATAGCAAAGAAAGACAGAAAGAAACCAAATTGTTTAATAGTATACTCGCCAACGCGGGAATCACATATCACGGTTATGGCAGAATTAACAAAATATTTAAGATGCTGTAATATTAATGCCATGATAGATATGTTCGATATCTCGGAGACTGTATCAAAGGTAAGGCGTAAATATGATATTAAAAAAAAAAAAAAAAAAAAAAAAGAAAAAAAAACCAATTGTTCTTCCTCTTCGTCTCTCAAAAATCAAACTTGTCTCTCTGTTTTTTTCTTATTTTTTTTTTTTTCTTCTTTTTTTTTTCTTTCTCTTTTCTTTCCTTTTCAGGACGTAGAACTTTGGTGTAGAACCGCGTTTAATTCTGCCGACATTATTCTCATTGTGACATCACCACCGTCTAACAAACTTGTACCAACAATATACGAGAACATAGACACTTATATATTGCAATTGATTAGAGAAAATTATGGGCAAAGGAATAAAAGGTATTATATTCTACAATTGCCATATTGCAAATCAACTGATTTGCCGGACGAGGCAAAACGTTTTCAACGTTTTCGTATGCCCGAAGAATTAGCGAAATTAGTGAGGACAGTTCACAATATTGATTACATTAGATTCTTTGGTTTATCAAATAAGGAGGTACTATTGGAAAGTATAAAATTAGCTCAAGTAGAGATGTTAGACGATGGTACTGGTAGTGATCACAAGAGTGCTGATGAAACTGGTATGTATTACAACACACACACACACATACACACACACTCTCACTCTCTCTCTCTCTCTATATATATATATATATATTTAATTTATAAATAAATAAATATTTAAAAACATATCAATAATAGTTTGAATTATATTTTCAGACGATCTTTTACCATCCGTAGTACCAACAAATAATATTAAAAACGAAGATCTGAATCACGAGGACGATAACAATTCAATGTCTTCGAATGTTGTTAAGGACGAATTTAATAATTCATTGAAAAGAAAATATTGTGAACTTCAAGGTGAAAAAGGTATTATTACCGTCCACTCGGATTCAGACGAGCAGTAGTATATAAACATAGTACTGAAAAAGAAAAGAAAAGAAAAGAAAAGAAAAGAAAAGAACAAAAAATAAACAAAGCAATTAATGTTTTGTTCGTATTATAACGAGGCTGTTTCACAACGATACCTTTATAATTTATCACATTTTTATACCCCGTGTTATAACGACGACCACGTTTAATAAATGTTTACGACGATAATTATTTTTCTCTTTTTTCAACTTTATTTCAATTATAATAAACAAATCTTTCTTTTTTCTCTCTTTCTCTCTCTCTCTCTCTCTCTTTTTATATCTCTCACATACACTTTCTTTTTATCCATACACGTTAATAATTATAACGAAACGATAATGGCACTGCAATAATCGCATTGATAAACAATCTAACAAAAACAAAACAAATAAAAAAAAAAAAAAAAAAAAATATAGGATCAAAATAAAATAAAAAAAATAAAAAAAATAAAAAAAAGTGAAAGTAAACGAAGCACTTACGTTACGAGGTAAAGAGAACTAAACTAATGGAATGTTTTATTTTTTTTTTTTTTTTTTTTTTTCTTTTTTCTTTTTACATAAATACAAAAAGAGATGATTTTTCTTTTGAATGATTTTGTGAGAATAAGGTACGGAAATCCAGTCTTCTTTGTATATATAGTTGTATCTGTGTTTCTCCTCTCTCTCTCTCTCTCTCTCTCTCTCTCTCTTTCTCTCTCTTTCTGTGAGCGTGTGTTTCCCCCTCTAAAAAACACGTACACGGCGATAAAACTTTTTTTTTTTTTTATATTCATACTAAAGTCTCCCTTAATCATTGCCATATTTCAATTTTAAACAACGACGTGCGCATTATTTATATCTTTTTAAAAAGCTATAAAAAGAAATTACTTGTTTGTATGTACGTATGTATACGTATGTATTTGTGTGTGTGTGCGTGTGTGTGTGTGTGTATGCAATTTGAGAAAAAAAAAAAACCAATGTTTCATCCTTCAATCAAGATGATCATCATATTATAGAGATCTATTATGATCAATAACGAAGATTTAGATAATGATCCTTTAAAGAGGAAGCCATTTATGTATGTATATCTTTCAAATGCATTGCCGATAAAGCTTTCATACGAGAAATTATTTTCTCTCTCTCTCTCTCTCTCTCTCTCTCTTTTTTTTTTTTCTTTTAAATGCGATTAGCAATGTGCACGTGTGAAACTTTGTACGTTCGCTTGTACATACAAATTGTTCACAGTATTATTTATATCGTATATGTATGTATATATATATATATATATATATATATTTATATATATTATATATATTATATATATAAATATTTATATACATATATATATATATATATATATATATAAATTAGCTTTTCTTAATCGAGAATCGCGTTTATGTAATATTTGTAATATTTTTGATAGTAAATAGCTGTAGGTACTAGTAAATAGTAATAATATTAGTAATAGTAGTAATAGTAGTAATAGTAATACGAAAAAAAAAGTGCCGTTTCGCTTAAGTACAAGAAAAAGATGCTTTATACATAAAAATATGTTAATCTAACTCGATATTTTTCTTTGTTTCTTTGTTTGTCTCTCTGTCTCTCTCTCTCTCTCTCTTTCTCTCTCTCTCTTCTCTCATCATTTTTGGTATAACAATTAAGAGCTACGAGAATTTTTTCTCGTGATCACTCTTTCATCAATGATATCGTAATATCGAAAAATCATTTCTCCATCGTATCTGTCATCGTCGTCAATATCATTTCAATCATCAATCATCAATCGTCATCTGTCTTGATCATTGGAGATCAGATCGTTGGAAAAATCTTTCTTAAAAAATAAAAAAAAAAAAAAAAAAAAAAAAAAAAAAAAAGAAAAAAAAGAAAAAAAAGAAAAAGGAAAGACTCTCGAACATTTTAAATAAATGTTTTTTTTTTCTGCTTTCTTCTTCGTCTTCTTTTTTTTTCTTTTTTTTTTTTTTTTTTTTTTTTTCTTCTTCTTTCTCATCAAAATCCTCAATCAGTTCTATCGTTGTCTTCCTTGCTTTCCAAACTGCCGAACAACAATAAATCATCCGTTTCTTTCGTTTTCTTTCCTTGCATATCTATATAAGACTGTGGCCGTTCATTCGGTGGTGTTTTAAGATCATTCTCGCTATTACTAGTAACACTTGTATTCCTTAATTTAATTGGACTTTCGTAATGATTGATGTTCAAGCTAGGTGGACGATCATTGACATAAGGTGATTTTACTGTTTCGCTTGGAAATGAAGCTATTGGTTCCTGCCAAAATGCATGAAGTTTGTCTACTTTATCGCACTTCGTCACAGGTTCCGACGATGGTTTACTGAGGTAATTAACCGTATCTGTCCTTAAGATATTAACCTTGGCCTCTTCTATACCTTGATCGCCTGAACCTAAAACAATAAAAATAAATGACTAATTGATAAACCATAAAAAGATACCTCTTTTCCTCTTTTTTTTTTTTTTCTTTTTATCAGTAAAATTATAAATCGACTATTGTTTATATTAAATTCTTCAATTTAATCTTATAACCTTATAATACCTTATAATGTAAAATATTTAATGGGAAATATTAAAGGTATTAATTAATAATAAATAAATAAACATATATATATATATATAAAAATATTTCTATATGAAATTATCTCGATATAAGATATTAGAAATTTTTAATAATAAAATATATTTTATTATTAGAAATTATATTTTAGATTAAATTAAAAAAAAAAAAATTTCTTTGTTTTTGTATTTTTTTTTTCTTATTTTTTTTTTTTTTCACGGAAATATAAAAATGAAATTATTAATGATATTATATTTGTATTTTCTCAAAATACTCACTGGTTGGACTATCTAATGCGTGAAGAGAAGCAAAGTATGCCTGATTATGGACGGTCCTTGGATTCAGATCTAAATACTCTACTCCATCCTCTAACATGCGTTCCCAGTGACAGGTGAGTTCTTTAAAAGATGGTCTCATTCCAGGTTCCTCGTGCCAACATGAGACCATCAATTTATATCTATAATAATCAAAACATCCAAATTTTTAATTCTGATAAATTTTTTCTACAGATGAACGTTACTATACTATTATTATAATTTTTGACCTTTTATGGATGACAACATTAAACAAAGAGAAACATTAATCAAACATTGAAACGATAAAGTTTTATAATTGACCTTTTATAATTGAACATGTAATTATAGTTTTTAATAATTGACTTTTGTAATATCGATTAATTTATTACGACAAATTTTCTTATTAGTAATAATGTATGATCATGTTAAATGACATAAAAGTGATGAATTTTTATTTTTTACTTTTGTAATTAATATTAATATTATTGTTGTTGTTGTTGTTGTCGTAATTAATTTCGAATTGTTTTGTTAATTGTCGAATTTACTTACAATTGTTGAGAACAATTAGCTGGCTTTTCCATACGATAACCAGCCTTTAAAAGATTGTAAAGATTATGAACGTCTACACCTGGATACGGTGATGCTCCTAAAGTGACCAATTCCCAAAGGAGCACACCGAAACTCCAAACGTCAGATTTACTGGTATAAACGTGATCTGCCAATGATTCCGGTGCCATCCATTTAACGGGTACTAACGTGAGAATGAGAGAGAATCGTGAAATATCGGAGATTAATAACGTGGAAATTAACGTTTGATCGATTTCAAGAGATGAAGAGAGTTCCTTTTTTTTTTTTTCAATATCTTTTTTCTTTTCTTTTTTTTTTTTTCAATGTCTTTTTTCTTTTCTTTTTTTTTTTCAATGTCTTTTTTCTTTTACTTTCTTTTTTCAATGTCTTCTTTCTTTTCTTTTTCTAATCCTAAGATATCAAAATGTAGATTTAACAAAGCAACAAAAGAAAATTATAAAATGATTCTCTTTTACATTTTTCATCACAGATTATTGTTTTGATCGTTAAAATTAATCCAAAGTTTTGATATTTGTTCTTTTTTTTTTTTTTTTTTTTTTGCTTATTTTTTGTTCGTTCGTTTTTATATTTTATATACCTTATACATATATCGTTCAATATTTTTATATTATATATCGTTTGATCACTTTCTAAAATATTTTATAAAATTTGACTTGAATTATATTATATATATATATATCGCAATTTTCTATATTAATTTGAATAAATATTTTCTACGAAATTAAAAACTCTCTTCTCTGATTATTATATGAAGTAAATATTTTTTTTTTTTTATTTTTGTTATTTCTTTTTTTTTTAAGAAACCATTACCTCGGCCTTTACTTCGTTTCAAATAAGCATCGTCCTCGTAAACGTCACGGGTCAGACCGAAATCCGAAATTTTACAGACTTTACCTGTCGCCAGTAAAACATTTCTAGCAGCCAAATCTCTGTGTACCAACTGTACAGAAAATAGAGACAATTATTTTTGATAAAAATCGATCATCATGACATTATTTATGGCCTATAATTTATAAACAATATATACGTTTCATCTTCGTTCACGTATATTTGATAAGTTTTACAATTGAAAAAGAGATTTCATTATTTTAGAAATTATTTTAGAAATGGCATTTTATTTGTTAATTTTTTTTCATTTTTTTTCTTTTTTTTTCATGTTTTTGAAAAATACGATTGATCGATTATCATCGATTATTCGTGACCGAATTTTTTTTTTTTTATGAACAAATATAGTTATCAATCATTTGATAATTCTGAGTTGTTTTAAGCTGAAAACGTTTTGCTTGAGTCTCTTGGATGCAATCGCTAGAGATTAAAAATTTTTTCGTGCAATATGAATGTCATTGGTGGATAACTAACTACTATAACACGTTATAATATATAATGAGACATTAGCCTTTGCTGCTGGACGCATATATGCGCCTACAGTAATCAAAGTTTTAATGATATGATTAAAATTTTACCTTAATATCTGCGAGATATGCCATCCCTTTACTGATCTGCCAAGCGAACGAAAGAATGTCGCGTGGAGTTATAGTATAATTCGACAAAGTATCGACCTGTTGTAATTCCTCTCTAATGTTATTCGGTGATGCAGAAAGAAGTGACGTCAAGCAAAGAACTCTCCCTTCGGATTCCAAATGTCGACTGCGTCTCAAGTAATTCCTACAATTTAAAAAAAAAAAAAAAAAAAAAAAAAAAAAAGAAAAAAAAAACAAGAAAAAAAAGGAATTAATCACAGTCTTTCTGTATCTACCTATATAAAAATAAAAATAGATTAAGAAAAAAGAAAAAAAAAAAAAAAAAAAGAAAAAAAACTTTAAATTAAAAAATTATTTGCCCGATTAAAAACAAAGTTTTAATTCTAAACTTTTCCATACAATTCTTTTCTCTTTGTTTTTTCTTTTTTATTTATTTATTTATTATTTATTTTTGTTTTTGTTTTGTTTTTTGTTTTGTTTCTTTTTTTTGTTTTTTTCTTTTTGAGGATAAAGGAAGATACAAATTTACACTTAGATATTAATTATCAATTATGAATAGACTTTTTCTTTTTTTTTCTTTCTTTTTTTTTTTTTTTTTTTTTTTTTTTTTGTTTATTTATCTTAAGCAAAGCTTTAAACAATTTTTATCCTTCCTTTATATTCAATCAAAACTTATACGCCGACGATTTGAAATATAAAAATTTTCCATAAAAATTTATACGAAGACGAAATATGCGTCTACGTCGGGAGGATAAATTCAGTACCACGATGAAAAATTTAATTATCAAGGATGGAGACACTCTCTCTCTATCTCTCTCTCATTCTCTCTCTCTCTCTCTCTCTCTCTCTCTCTCTCTCTTTCTCTCTTCGATGTAAGTAACGTGACTTTTATTTTCTAGACTGGAATTCTAACGGTGAGAATAGGAGTGCAATTTACGGAATTCACTGCGTTATTTCCGCATAGGGACATACATACATAAGAGCATAAGTTTCAAAGAAATGAGATAGAGATAGATAGAGAGAGAGAGAGAGAGAGAGAGAGAGAGAAAGAGAGAGAAAGAGATTACACGTTTTTCATTCACGCAATTCATTCACATTTCGAGAGTTTAGATAGAAAATACCTATGGACTAAAGAGAAAAGGAATTCTCTTTATCTCTTCCACTTCGATTATGTTTGTTATATTACGTAATTTACATGTATAGTAGACTCAAAGGGTTAAAAGAAAATTCACGTTCTTGGAATACAAGGGATACTTTTCAAAGAGTTAACTTTCTTTTAAATTGACATGAAAAAAAAGAAAAAAAAAAAAAAGAAAAAGGAAAAGGAAAAAGGAAAACAGAAAAAAAGAAAAAGAGAAAATTCGCAGGTAGAAAAAAAAATTTTTTTTTTTAAGGAAAATATATCTCTGTAATATTATCATTATTATTATTATTATTATTATTATTATTATTATTATTATTATTATTATTATTATTATTATTATTATTATTATTATTATTATTATTATTATTGTTATTATTATTATTATTATTATTGTTATTATTATTATTATTATTATTGTTATTATTATTATTATTATTATTGGTATGTAAAAGTTTGCGAACGTAATGATAATATTCACGTATTATCATTAATTGAAAATCGTTTCCCGATATTTTTATTATTAATTGAATTAAAAAATGATTAATTAAATTAATTAATATTCTTCGGACTAACCTTAACGAGCCAAATTCAGCGAACTCGATGATGAGATAAACTGGACCACCAGGTGAGGTGCAAGCACCGAGTAATCGAATAACGTTAGGATGTTGAGCTTCTTTTAATAGTTGATACTCCGAGAGTAGATCGGCTAGTTCGGAAGCACAGGCATCTTCTTTTAATGTTTTTACAGCTACCGTAGTTGGTCCAAGCCAACCACCAATGTCGATAGCTTTAGCTCGTAAAACTCGTCCAAATTCACCCTCTCCGAGAACTTGTTCGATCGTTAATCGAGAACGTGGGAATTCCCACTTTGGATCCGGCTGAACACAAGCAAAGAAAAAATTTTTATGTCAATTGCTCAATTTCGTTCGATCAAAATCGTTTTAATCGAAACGTTACGATCAAATCGTTTTAATCGAAACGTTCGAAGAAAATAAACATTTTTCTTTTTTTTTTCTTTTTTCTTTATTTCTGTTTTTTTTTTCTTTTTTAATATATCTTTAATAATATTGACAAAGTCTATTGCAATTTCTCGAATATCATAGTTTTAATATCGTTAAAGTTAATTTGATTTTGAAACTATCAAAGTATAATACAAATTAAAATTTCTCTAATTATATTAATCATTTTTTGACCTTTAAAACGGTCAGAATAAAATGCAATTTTTTTTTTTCTTTTTTTTTTTTTTTTTTTTTTACAAAAGAATATCTACATCGATCATTAGAATCTCATTATAAAATCGTTAAGCGAATTGCTATTTTTATTCACGTGTGGTTATTCTATCGAGTATTACTAACGTCACACTTCGAATGAATTGCCTGCAAATTGCGGCAATGAGTTAAAGGAAAAAAAAAAGAAAAAAGAAAAAAGAAGAAAAGAAAAAAAAAATTGCATAATGAAAATTTTGCAGTTGAGATCCATCGGATAAGCTTGAACGGTTATCCTCCGCCCCCTCTCACCCTCCAACCCTCGCCATTGGCGTAGATCGCCCACGCGAATCGATATGGTTCATGAACACGTGATACCTTTATCTACGAGCATAGCGTGCATCAACTATAAATGTCATCTTATACTTATTAATCTAAATTCAACGTTAGCGAGAACGTAAATAATATTTTATATGCTGACCAAGAATTAATCGTTTGAAACAATTTTTATTCTGTATTTTTTACTTTTTTCCTTTCCTTTTTATTTTTCTTTTTCTTTTTTGTTTTGTTTCTTCTTCATTTTTAAACTCATTAAAAGCACTTCAAAAAAATTAAGAACAAATTCGACGAGTGACTCGTGAGTTCGATTCATGAAAAAAAAAAAAAAAAAAAAAAAAGAAAAAGAAAAAGAAAAAGAAAGAAAAGGAAAAAGTCATCTTTTTGTTTATTATTATTTTTCTTTTTTTTTTTTTCTAAATAATAATCAAACGCAAAAATTATATTGAGATCAATGATAAATGAATTGCAAGCAAAAAATAATATTTCAAAATGATCTATCTCGTATTTGGCAAAATTTTGTTAATGATAAATGAAATTTTCTCTCTCTCTCTCTCTCTCTTTTTTTTTCTTTTTCTTTTTTTTTTTCTTTTTGAACATCGACCACCATTTAATTTTTATTACGTTTCGATAGTTACAAAATCAGATACAGATATATAGAATACAGAAAAAGAACTAATTACAATTAAGTTAATTTGCTATGCCGGCTAATTTGCTCTGTAATTATTTAAACCATGTCACACGATATTTAGAGCATAAGTTATTAAAGTGTTATACGAATTTAAAAGTCGACCAAATCTAGAATATTATCATTTCTATTTCTAAGCACAGCTAAGAGAGAATTGTCTCGTCAATTTTAATCCAAATGCGTGAAGCGTGACCGACGATTTTTTTATCTTCTATAAGTTCTACTAACGGAATAATGTATACTCGTAAATTATGTCAAACAAATAAATTGATTTGAATTAATAATAATTAAGTGCGAATTAAATGTGGATTATATAGATATCTATTTTCCCGTTAGGAGATATATCATATCGAAGTAAAACATTTTTTTTTTCTCTCTCCTTTCTCTCTCTTTTTTTTTTTTTTCTTTTTTTTTCTTAAATAGAATTTCATGCCGATCTCGTTGCAGAATTTCAATTAGGTAGTCTAATCGTTAGAAAATTATGAGTTCTTAGTAAATCCGATCGATTTAACTCGTGGTTGGACGTACCAACTGCTCCCGCTAAGGTCTACTTTACGTATACCTAATGCCCACCATGAACTTTACATAGAAAGAAAGAAAGAAAGAGAAAGACGAGGGGAGAGAGAGAGATAGAGATAGAGAGAGAGAGAGAGAGAGAGATAAGACCAGAACAATTTCCGGAGAATAGTGCATTCTACTTGAATTATTCCTTAGGTCATCAGAGTTACAAGCTTAGTAATGAATGGAACTCTCAAGTTTGAAGTTTTCAAGGACTGAAATTGCACGTGGAAAATTGGAAATCTTTTTTATTAGCGGGAAATATTAAAGAAAGAAGAGAGAAAAAGGAAAGAGAAGAGAGAGAAAAAGAAAAAGGAACTACAATCAAATTATCTATCCATCCATCCATCTATCTATCTATCTATCTATCTATCTATCTATCTATCTATCTATCTATCTATCTATCTTTGTGGATTTATAAATCAGCGTGGACTAAGTTCTATTATAACGAGATCATATTTAAAGAGTCTCGGGAGAAATGATCTGCGACTGACATTGCAATTTATATATTCGATTGAAAAAAAAGAAAAAAAAGAAGAAAAGAAAAAAAAAAGGGAAAAGA